TGTATATATATGTGAACATCTTAAATGAATCCTGCTTTTGAACGACCAACATTTACTGCCTTTATGACAACAGCTTCTGACTCAACGCATCTCTGCACAGGTGCAGAGCTGGGTTTTCTTGGACACCACCTGATACTCCTTCTGTTCCTTAAATAAAGAATAACCCCTTTGTTCCATGAGGGAGTGAAGCACTTCTCCACAGCAGTCCCATCTGAGCGTCGCTTTCACGCATCCAGCCGCTGGATCTCAGGGCGGTGATCCACTTCCCTGGACTCTGTCCGAGCACGTATGTAATCACTGGGCTGGCGGCTGTTCTGCTGTCTGCTGCTCATGCGCCACTTTTTAACAGCTAAATATGTGTTCACAGCATACACTGCCATTGCCAAGAAACCAAATATCTACAAGAAGTAGAAAGAATTGTCAAAGACAATTTTTGAGAACGAGAACAATAGTAGTTTCACAACAAATTCTTCAGATGCTTAGTTTTCTACTTTATTTCCACTGACAAATCATCATGGCCTGTAAAATTTATGTTTTTCTTCTTCAATGAACTAGAGCATCTGCAAAAGTGACTAAGATCAATGATCACAGAAAACAAAATTCTCTGTCTACAAACACGACAATTAACTGCTGCAATGCAACTTCAATGGAAGAATCTCTTGTAAAGAGGAATACAGCTCTTCATCCAACACTTCATCCCTCAGGGTATACACAACAGTGAATGAATGACAGCAGAACAGATCACCAGTCCAGACCCTCAGCCTGGAGAAGGAGCTAATCTGCAGCTCTTCCTATAAGCCTCTTGCGCATCTTTCAACGTGCAGGTTTGGAAGGGGAAAGGCAAAAAAAGTGTTACCAACTCAAGCACAAAATTAATTTGCTTGACCTTCCTGTTCTAGATTTAAAGTCTTGAAGTACTACTATACTCCCTAGTGAGGAAAAATTCAGCAAATTATGTGTAATCACCTCCAATTTCTTGTGGCTTTTTTGCTCTATCTTTCCTGTAGGCTTGCAATACAGAGCAGCAGCACATAAGCTGGCTACAGAGAACGAGGCGAGGCAGGTTCAATCATCAGCACTCTTGCCTCAAGCCTTAAGACAAACAACTCAAAAGATGTCAGTATTTAAAAATCAGACTTAGCTTATACTCAACTCTAAAATTAGAAGTGCTTTATGATGGCAAAGGCAACCGGAGTATTCAATGAACACAAGGGAAGTTACTCTTAGTTTTAATAGAGGATAAGAGTCATATATAAACAAGTTCAAATTCTTACCACAGCAGCAATTTCTGCTCCAGTTTTATGGTTTAAAGCAGCAAGTACTACAGAGGCAATGAAAAAGAAGAAAGTGCTGAGTCCAGTGTTGACCAGATCCTAAAAAAATAAATTCATTAGCATTATTAAACAATGATTCTTTGCTTGCTTTTGTTAGAAGCAATGAAGCACAAGATCAGAACAAGAACTACAGCAATACTTTCCTACTTTCTATGCAGTTTATCAGTCATTACACAGGAAACAGCATGTGTGCACATCAGTCTGTGCACTGATGTCAAAGAGCAGGTACACAAAAAGCACCAGTGCAGACTCTGGATGTGTTATCTCAACTTCTGCTGAGTTTATTGGAAAAGTATTGTCAGCATAAACAATAAGTAAAACTGTTCTACCTCAGCTGACATTAAACTAACCTCACTATCAACCTTTCACATTCCAGGATCCCCTTTTCTCTTTCACATCACAACAGTGCTCCATACACTGGCCAGAAAAGTCACATTTTTTTATACAAATTCTTGGAGGTCTTCACTGTAAGAAACTGCATGTCCCATGCTATTTCTATGAGTAGCAGCTCCCCATATTGTAAGAATACACAGATTTTTACATATTTATTGCATAAACTGATGTTTCAAGTTGACATTTTAGAACATATGCACAGCAAACACCCCAGGAGCAACTACGTTCCATGAAAACTCTTGCTTTGCTGCAAGCACAGCAAAATGACAGGCAACATGCAATCCAGTTATACATATGCCGCGTTACGTCACTCAGTGTTCAGATGATTATGTTGCCATGCTGTATATAAAGCAGGGTTATTAACATATCATTGGAACATAAGGAAGAATTCTGAATGGCAGCTCTTAGCTCAAGAATAATTACATCAATTCAAGAATAGCTGATCAGACTCTAGGAAAAAAAAACTCAAGAGTTGGGACTATGAAATAATAGAAGAAACAAAGTGTAGATTCATTAGGGACTAGCTGTTCAGTGTGTTACTTGGGGGCAATTTTACAATATTTTAGAACATTTGATATGTATGCACACTGCACTATACATACAGTACAGAGACGCAGGAAATTGTTAACAGACTGTAACTGAACAGGCACAGCCAGGGAGCCAGGAGGGGTGCGGAAGAACCGCGGAAGGGCAGTTCAGCACAAGTATCCTGAGGGAACATGAGATCAGTGAGAGGTGAACACTACCATAGCCAAAAGGGACAGAAAGGAAAGCCGGATACCAGCTTGCTGTGCAGCTCAGAGTTTTGAGTTAAAGGGAAAAAAAACCCCAACAACAAAACCCAAACAACACAACCAACATGAACATGCTAACTCCCACTATTAAAAAAAAAAAAAAATCACATCACCATTCTAATTAGAATTCAGGAACAGATTTGTTCCACTTGAGTTTTCTTTCACATGCAAGCCAGGCCCACTTCCTGTTCCTGCTCCTCCACTTACTGCCCAGCGATTTTTTTTGTCTTCCCCAAACTGTATCTTGTGAAGTGCTGTACAAAGTTAGGCTTAGAAAACTAAAGATATAAATCTAAACTTATTCCCTCAGTACGAATCCCATTACTATGTTCCAGATACATACCACAAAGAGTTTTAAAAGACCATTGTCATCTAGCCATCCCAAAACATCTGTTTTTCTAGCCATAATTGGAGAATGCTTTAAAAAGTAACTGTTAAAACTGCAAGTTTCTGGAACTGTGTTATTCACAGGAAAAAAATACCTATTTTGCGGGTACTGACTCAGCAACAGCTGGCTATCAAAATTTATCATACCTGGGGACAAACTGTATGATGTACCACTGTGGCCTGATCCTCATCTAAAAGCAGAACTTCCCCAAGAAATATGAGAGGCTTCCATTGCTCAACTCTACTTCCACCCACATGTCTGGATTTCATAAGCCCAGTAAGACCTTAACTGTCTCACCAAACAGTAAGAAAAGAAAAGCAAATTGTGAGTCTCAAAATCCTATCTTTTCACCTGTGAGTGTATTATTAGAGAGATACTTTTTATTTGTGTCCCAGGTTACCAAAATAGATGTTTTCCAATATTTATGGCATCAAACAAAACTGGAATTTTGTTAGGTATTGCAATTCTTATATCTTGTTGCTTTGCAGAGATAAAGTTAAGAAACAAAAAAATTATAAAATAAATGGCATTTCACAATGTCAGCAAGTATCCTCCTTTTCAACCTGTAGTTCAACAGCTCTCACTGTGCTCCTGAGGTTGCCAACAAAAGCTGTGGTCCTTATCTGCACAAACTTTTTCTCACTAGAGGGGAAGTCTCACTATATATGACAGATACCAGACTCAAGAGTATTCAAATTTCATCCAGTTTCTAGCATAAACCTATGTATGTCACCAAGAAAGCTGAAATTCATTACTGAATGAAATGGCACCTGTGCTCTTGAATAATTAAAAAAAAAATTAAAAAATTAGTTCAACCCAAGGTCAAATTGTGTACTTTACTACCAGAGTACGTTTGCCACCTACAGGAAGGACCTTCAGAATGGAGACAAATTGAAGAAGAAATAACTCAGAAGAGTTTAGTAATTACAGTACAGAAGCATCTCAAGATGTGATGCCATGACAAAAAAGAAAAAAAAAAAAAAGAGAGAAAAAGCACTTATACATTCCTTTGAACATATGGACACAATAGGTTTAAGGTGGTAAACTTACCTTTGCAAGGGACACTGGAATGCTGCATCCTGTTCCGGTATCCACATTTTTAAAAGTATGTTGAAAAATTGGACAGGGTACAGAAAAGAGCCACAGAAGTTATTTGAAAGGAGGAGAAAATCTCTCACAGTATGAATCAAAGAACCTAAACTGCTTTGAATATTAAAAAGATTGAGCTGTGTACATGAAGACACCAGTGTTCAAATAATAAAACACTAGATGTTTTAAAAATTTAACACAGAAAAACACAACAAAATTCATAGTGTAAGAAAATTAACAGCTGCAAAGTTAAGATAAAAGCCATAGTCAAAATGAAGAAAGTTTAAATTGTAAGGGAGCTAACCATCATGACAACCAAAGATGTGCTTAATATTCCACCTTCTCACATCTTACAATCCAAATTTTTTCAGATACCTATTTTGTACTTCCTTAGTACCATACTTAAACTGTAAGTAGATGACACATAAAGCTCTATGATTTATGGGGTCAGATGTGGTCATTCATTAATCCCACTGACCTCTGATTTTTTCACTGTCAGCTTGATCACCCTGCCAAAGGTAAGCAAGACAACTAGACCTACCCACAAAGACAGACATTATCATCTATCTGGATGCTACAAACTCACTTGAAGGTTTCTTGTAAGAAATTTGAGATACTGCAGAATACTACTGAAAATAGACGGCTGGTGCCTTTGTCATGGTTCTTCCAGAAAACCAAAGATAGAAGAAGCATGTTAGAAACATTCTCATCGTCACAATCATTTGATTTTATAGTACTCTTTTCAAAGAATATCAAATTTGTCCTTGCAAAGAATCCAACAATTAAAATATAAATAATAAATTCCGTCTTGAGGCTCCAATTTATTCACTTCTGCAATTCCATTTTCCCCATTTAGGTCAAAACCTTTTAATGCAATTAATAATTGATACACATTCATACAGTTAGGTACCAGTTTCTTAAAAAGCTAATACTACCATAAGCCTTCATATTTACAGATCAGATTGTCACTTAAGAGCAGTGGCACTTCCTGGTAGCACTGTCATACAGAATAAAATGGTAATGTCACAGTTACCATTACCACAGTTACCTCCCTACCAAGGAGACTTTTTAGCCAAAAATTTGGTACTTAGGACTTAAAGCAGAATGGTAAGAAAGGGAAATGTACCATGGTTTTCGACTTGGCAGAGTAGAAACAAAAGAGAATCAATTACAGCAAGAATTCAAGAAGCAAAGGACACTCCCTAAAATAATGTAGCTTTTTTCCACGTTAGAGAAGATGAATAATCGTGACAATAACAAGAATAAACTAATTGAAAAAAGATGAATCCTTTCAAATCTGGCCATGATGTAGACGAAGTTCTTGCTATTATATTTATAGACAAAGTAAAAACCACATCACACAGATAGAAGAATTTCTGCTGAAATTACAGCAACCTCATGAGACAGTAGGCTGTGCCATAAAATGCTGTACAAAGCTGCCATCCATAACAGAGAATAAAATCTATGAGCTGAACCAAATCCACTCGAGTCTGCTGCTGCTCCCTTTCTCCCTTCCAAAATGATTTAAAATGAAAGTCTGACTCCTGGTCACTCGCTAGTTACATGAAGTCATTCTCTTCAGTCACTACTGGTTTTGCTAGTCCAAAGGAGAGCATCCAAGGACATATATCTGCTACTGCCATCACCAGCTATCCATCCCACTTGCAAGAAGCACAAGGCAGAGGAGGAATCTTAACTTGTGGATGAATATGCACTAATGCCAAGACAGCATTTTATACTAAAAGGGTGAGGCTTTTGTTCTGTTGATTCTGCTTTAAGGGTGGGAAACGCCAGAAAAGTGGGCAGGGTCCTACAGTGTTTCCTCTTGCAGGGCCTCGGCAGGTAGGGTTCCTGGATCAGCAACGATGGAAAAGCTGAATTAGCACCAAGAGTGAGAGGTCTGTTAACACACCTGAGAACTCCCATCAAGTAACTCCTGAAAGCTCCAGGGCACATCAGCTTCAAAAGCTTCTGGTTAGACCGCCAGTTTGGTACATTACCAGGAGCTGGCTCTGATGTTCAGAGGTGTCAGTAATACCCACATGCCCTAATCCATCACTCTCCATGACTTCATACATGATAGCTTTTAAGAGACTTTTAATCAAAACACGTGCTCTGACCTTTTATCTGGTATTTTGTGGTGAACTAGGAGACCACACAACTGACCAGGTACTATTTAAAAGAGAGACAGTGCCATAACTGCAGTTGTGATTTGTACACACAAAAATATGACATTTAATACTGGTGTTTCCTTTTGTCATTTGGTTTCTGAAATCCAGGAGTTTACATTTAGATGGGAGTTTAAAGTAGCTAAGTGAATGCCATCTGGAAAAGAAGTCTGCACATTTCAACATCTTGACTTTGTCACTAAAGGT